TCTGGTGGCCACTTCCCCTTGGTAGCCAAGGTGACCAGCTCCTCCCTCAGTAGACCTGGTGGCCACCTCCTCCCTGGGTAGACTTGGTGGTCAGTTCTTCCATGGCTAGACCTGGTGGCCCCTTCCCTGGGTCTGGTGGCCACTTCCCCTCAGTAGCCACGGTGGCCACCTCCTCCATGGTTCGAGCCGGTGGCCAGTGTCCTCCCCCCTCCTTCTCCTCCCCCCCCTGCCTTGGGTTGCCCTGGTGGCCACATGGATCTGGTGGCCACCTCCTCCTGGGTAGACCAGGTGACCAGTTCTTCCACAGGTAGACCTGGTGGCCAGTTCCACTGGGTAGACCTGGTGGCTGTCTCCTCCCTCCAGTGGCCACTTCCCTGGGTCTGGTGGCCACTTCCCCTCGGTAGTCCAGGTGGCCACCTCCTCCCTGGGTAGACCTGGTGGCCAGTTCTTCCATGGCTAGACCCGGTGGCCACTTCCATGGGTCTGGTGGCCACTTCCCCTTGGTAGCCATGCTGGCCACCTCCTCTATGCCTCGAGCTGGTGGCCAGTGTCCTCCTCCCTCCTTCTCCTCCCCCTGGTGGCCAGTTCTTCCCTGGCTAGACCCGGTGGCCCCTTCCCTGGGTCTGGTGGCCACTTCCCCTCAGTAGCCATGCTGGCCACCTCCTCTATGCCTCGAGCTGGTGGCCAGTGTCCTCCCCCCTCCTTCTCCTCCCCTCCCCCACCTTGGGTTGCCCTGGTGGCCACATGGATCTGGTGGCCACCCCCTCCCTGGGTAGACCTGGTGGCCAGTTCTTCCATGGGTAGACCTGGTGGCCAGTTCTTCCACGGGTAGACCTGGTGGCCTTCTCCTCCCTGCCTAGACCCGGTGGCCACTTCCCTGGGTCTGGTGGCCACTTCCCCTCGGTAGCCATGCTGGCCACCTCCTCTATGCCTCAAGCTGGTGGCCAGTGTCCTCCCCCCTCCTTCTCCTCCCCTCCCCCACCTTGGGTTGCCCTGGTGGCCACATGGATCTGGTGGTCACCCCCTCCCTGGGTAGACCTGGTGGCCCCTTCCCCTGGGTAGACTTGGTGGCCAGTTCCCCAGGGTAGACCTGATGGTCACTCCTTCCTTGGGTAGACCTGGTGGCCAGTTCCCCTGGGTAGACCTGGTGGCCAGTTCTTCCACGGGTAGACCTGGTGACCAGTTTCCCCTGGGTAGGCCTGGTGGCCAGTTCCACTGGGTAGACCTGGTGGCCTTCTCCTCCCTGCCTAGACCCGGTGGCCACTTCCCTGGGTCTGGTGGCCACTTCCCCTCAGTAGCCATGATGGCCACCTCCTCCATGGCTCGAGCAGTGGCCACCCCCTCCCTCGGTTGACCTGGTGGCCCCTTCCCCTGGGTAGACCCAGTGGCCACCTCCTCCCTGGGTAGACCTGGTGGTCAGTTCTTCCATGGGTAGACCTGGTGACCAGTTGATCTGGGTCGACCTGGTGGCCAGTTTTTTCCATGGGTAGACCTGGTGGCCAGTTCCACTGGGTAGACCTGGTGGCCATCTCCTCCTTGCCTAGACTTGGTGGCCACTTCCCTGGGTCTGGTGGCCACTTCCCTGGTGTCCACCCCCTCCCTGGGTAGACCTGGTGGCCAGTTTTTCCATGGATAGACCTGGTGGCCAGTTCCACTGGGTAGACCTGGTGGCCTTCTCCTCCCTGCCTAGACCCGGTGGCCACTTCCCTGGGTCTGGTGGCCACTTCCCCTCAGTAGCCATGATGGCCACCTCCTCCATGGCTCGAGCAGGTGGCCAGTGTCCTCCTCCCTCCTTCTCCTCCTCCCCCCCGCCTTGGCTTGCCCTGGTGGCCACATGGATCTGGTGGTCACCCCCTCCCTGGGTAGACCTGGTGGCCCCTTCCCCTGGGTAGACTTGGTGGCCAGTTCCCCAGGGTAGACCTGATGGTCACTCCTTCCTTGGGTAGACCTGGTGGCCAGTTCCCCTGGGTAGACCTGGTGGCCAGCTCTTCCATGGGTAGACCTGGTGACCAGTTCCACTGGGTAGACCTGGTGGCCAGTTTTTCCATGGGTAGACCTGGTGGCCAGTTCCACTGGGTAGACCTGGTGTCCATCACCTCCCTGCCTAGACTTGGTGGCCACTTCCCTGGGTCTGGTGGCCACTTCCCTGGTGGCCACCCCCTCCTTGGGTAGACCTGGTGGACCACGTCCCCTGGGTAGCCC